CCTGTTAAACCGATGTGATGCGAGACCTTCTATTAGTTCCTGTTAAAAGCCTCGACTGAAACGACATTGACTGGTTCGACAGAACACTGAGGTTTCTGAGGCTCAGCTGAGAAGAGGAGAGAACCGAGGTGCTTCTTGAGCCGAGGAGCTTTGTTCAGGAGCGATGATCAGGGTTCATCTTGTTGGAATGGAACTGAAGGCACTTGTTAGTTCACCACACTTTAATATGAGAGACACAGTTTACTAACTCAGCTGACGTGTAAATCTGAGTCACGGAAGGAGCAGTACAGCTGAATGTCATCAGCATAGGAATGATGAGACACATTTCTGAAGCTGCTGCTGATCTTTCCAAGGGTTCTGATGTCTAGAAGGAACAGAACATTCAGACAGAACTTATATTTTATGCACCACGGCACCATGTAGGACAAGAAGACGTGACACTACCTGACAGGTTGGTCTGTTTGCCGATGACGTCTTCCTGCAGCTGAGAGACTCCACGTAGAAATGTTGGGGCTTAAATCAGACTGAAGTTTTGTAAATGTCTGGATCTGGTTTTGGATCTGCCTTCAGCCGGGACTGAAGGAAGTCAGTAAATAGAAGCTGTTTGGAGCATCACCAGATTATTTTATTATTCCAGAACTTCACGACGATCGAGTGTCCTCTCTTCATTCCATGGTTGACATAACGTGTGGGAGACGGCAGTCATTTCATCCGTCCTTTGTCTTAAACGTGTCCACACGTCAAACTCAAGACCCACGGGTCGAGTCTGGTCCTCAAGATGATCATTTAAATGTAAAATACTGCACCTCCTCTCATTTTGTCTTTAAAATCCTGATACATCATTTAGTCCAAACTTGTCTTGGCAGCTGGCTAACTTTGGAGCCAGAAAGAAGTCTGGATCATTCTGTCACTGGTTCTGATGAGGACAGAGCAGCAGAACATGGAGAAGATCAAACTCTTCTTCATGAACTGCAGCAAACATCAAACTTCGTGTATCTGTCCGAGCCACTTTCAGCTGATCCCTCATCGAGTCAAAGATTTTAATTCGGCTCCTTTCGTTACCTGACTTCGACCTTCTGATTGATTGTTTGTGTAAAAGTACATTTTCTGTCCAGGTGTGGACATGTCCAGCGTCACATGTTGGTTTTTGTTTGCTTCAGGTGCGGCCATAGCGGGGGTGTACAAGGCAGCAGGGAAGACCATGAGTCCTCTGGAGGCCTTCGTCTTTGGTGTTGGACAGTCGTTTTGTGTCGTCTTCATCTCCTCCGTCCGGATACTTGCTACTCTTTAGCGACGCGAGACCATCGTGACCACGTTGTGGGGGTTTGTCTCCCAGAAGAACCTGAACTTCAGATTCCTGGTGAACGCCTGGAGGACCAGTCCAGCGGCACGCCTTCGAAGAATGGACAGTGGGACCTGAACGTGTTGGCGCCTAACTTGGCCTCATGGTGTTCTTGTAGGACAGGAAGATGCTGCTGGTTCACGTCAGACCTGAGGAGCAGCTGGAGCTTCGTGTAGGAGGCGACTCGTCGGTGCAGGAGTACAGCTTCACTTCCCTCAGGGCCTTAGAACCAACGTGTCACTGAGCTGCGAGTGTTGGACACCAGCTGGACACTAGTCACAGTTGTCCTGGAACCTACAACCTGTCTCAAGAGAACTAGAGCTTTTTTTAGACCCCGGGGACATTTTGTAAACTCCTAACTGTCCACAGTCCAGTGAGACGCTGTTTGATCTGAAATGTGACGGATGAGAGACGAGTTCTTCTCTCTTCAGGCCTTAACGTCTGTTTTCTAATGTTCATCAGTTTGTGAGGAGCGTTTAGTGTCGTATTCAGGCTGCGGACATCTAGTGTTGTAGGTGACGGTAGCCCAGGAGGGACAAATCAAACGCCTTTTTTAGCCGACACTCAGTGGAAGTGGTGCAGCTTCACCACTAGATGCTCCCCACTGCTCCTTCATCATCCTCACCGCGTGTCTGAGTCTTTGCCTTCTTCATGGACCTGGGTCTGGTCTGGGGTCTGGTCTGGAGTCTGGTCTGGGGTCTGGTCTGTCCGTGGTTCTGTCTGTGCGTTGACCTTGGTCAAGGTGACTTGCTGTGTCCATGTAACTGACGGCACGTGTACACTTTGACAATGAACCGTTTTCTATATATTTTGACATAATTGTACAGTTTCAAGTTTTCTGGCCACATATGAACTATTTTATTTAAAAATGTTCCTGTACGTACTGTAAAAACAACAACGTGTACGATGTCTCTGTTTTTATGAGCAGAATAAATTCTATCTTCACCAACTCTGGATTCTTATTTTACTTTTCTGTTTCAGAAGCCTGAAGGTTTCAGCCCCAACGTGTTTAAAACTGTTCCTAATTTTCTTTACTCATTTTATTTATTTTAATAAGTCGGGAACAGGAAGTCGGAACACGTCACGTTCACGGCATCTTGCTGCATCTACGAGGGGCTGAAGGCGCCTGATGCTGCAGGACCCAAGACCTTGGATGTCCTGGAGGACTCGGAGCTGCAGGAACCAGGACTGCAGCATCTGTGGCTGCTGGTGCAAAAACTCAGGAGAAATTCAAAACGGTCGTGGAGAAGGAGTTTCGGTTCAATCTGGCAAACGGTTCTGTGACGGGAAAAAGGACAGCAGGCTTTGTGTGTTTGGTTCAGGTGGGGAGCTGCTCACCTGGACTGGGACGGTTCAGGTGGGGAGCTGCTCAACTGGACTGGGACGGTTCAGGTGGGGAGCTGCTCAACTGGACTGGGACGGTTCAGGTGGGGAGCTGCTCACCTGGACTGGGACGGTGTTACGTGTTGGAAAAAGTAGTTCGAGGATCGAGGCAGGGTCTGAGGACGCAGCGTAACAAGTTCATTACCAGAGCAGATGTACTGGTAATTAAAAGGGTTCCCAGTGGTAGTGCTCCAGGGTCTGGATGAGATTTGAAGCTGAAGACTGGATGTTGTGGAGCTGTCATGGCTGACCCATCTCCAGGGACCCATGGAGGACTGGAACAGCAGACCGGGGTGCTGGAGGATCAGCGAGTGTTCAACAATCGTGGATCACACGTCTCAGCCTCCCCAGGAATGTTCACTCCAGGGTGCTGGAAGAGAGGCTCTGACCGATCGTGGACCTCCAGAGGAACACTGGGACTTCCATCCTGGTCATGGACCAGTGGACCCTTGCAGGGTTGCTAAGGAGGACGTGGGAGTTTAACTGTCCAGTGGAAAGTGGTTTGTGGGTTTGGGGAAGGGTTGCGACTCGTTCCCTCGAGGCGTTCTGGGTCGTGTTGGGATAAAAATGTTTTGCTCTCCAGTTCCGTGAGTATTGACCCTGTTCTGGACTCTGCCACCTTCTCCTGGTTCTTCACCGGTGTAACAGGCAAGATTAGTCCCTGCCGATATTAAACCCAGGTAGAGTTTGGTCTAGACCAGAGTCTACCCCAGGGGCTAAACTGTTCCAGGCAGAACTGTACCTGGGAGTGTAGCCCAGACTAAACTACACAGTACCAACGTTCATGCTCATTGATCCAGGTGTGAATCCAACAATGTTCAGTCAGGTCGTCTGGACGGTTGAGGCATGGCTGCCTCAGAGGAGAGGGCGGCCCCGAAGGCCATCACCAGCAAACTGGTTTGTTCCACTCTGGGAGTGAACTGGGAGTTGGTTTGGTGGCTCCACAGACTGAAGAAGTCCTTTGGATGAAACCGTCTGGATGACGTGACTGAACCTTGTTAAACTGAAGTCTTCTCCTGGACCCGTTGCCTCCACAGCCTGACGTCATGCAATGTGCTGTGCTCAGAGTGCATGCTGGGGATGACTCTGAGCTACTACCACATCAAATCTGATTCGGTTTCTGTCGACCAGATGAGCTGCAGACATGTTTGTCTTCTAAGATCAGCTCTTACCGCTGTCGATTTGGACGGACTACAAAAGTTAATCAGTCGTAACTTCTCAAAGTTTTTGTTAAACTAGTGATTCGTGAGATATTTTGCTAACATTACAGACAACTGGATAACAGTTTGATGCTCAGTGCAGGGGGTGCATGAGACGTCACCTCCTCTTCCTTGTGTTTCTCCTTTAGAAGAAACGACGTTCTGTGAACGTCTGACGGCCCAACGTATAAAACCTTCAATGATTAATCTCAGAGTTCTGGGAATCATTAACGGCTGGTTGGAGGAACAAAGTCCACGTTGGACACAACGCTCCGCCCTTTCAGAACCAGGACTCTGGGGTCGGTGGTGCAGTGGTTAGAGATGTTGCTTCTTAACAATAAGGTCACGGGTTTGAATTCTGGCCGGGCCTGTTTTGACTGGAGGAATTCTTCTCGTGCTGGTTTTCTCCACGTGCACCATGCTGGGGACACGGTTTGGACAACTTTAACTGGGTAACAGTTACGAGCACTGAAGGTCGGGGTTTAATGACATGTTGACGACATAATGTTCTCGTCACAAACATTTATTTGATCAAACTATGAAAAAACCTTATGGGGAAAAATCAGCCACATTTATTTATATTCATGTTTATATTTAGTTATGTTGGTGCAGTAGCGGCACGGTGGCTCAGTTGGTAGAGCTGTTGCCTCTCAGCGAGAAGGTCGTCGGTTCAAATCCCGGGGACATTTCTGTGTGGAGTTTGCATGTTCTCTTTGTGCATGCGTGGGTTTCCTCCCACAGACCACAAACATGCATGTGAGGTTGATTGATGAATTGTCCGTGATGGACTGGAGACGTGTCCAGGGTGTCCCTGTGATGGACTGGAGACGTGTCCAGGGTGTCCCTGTGATGGGACTGGAGATGTGTCCAGGGTGTCCCTGTGATGGACTGGAGACGTGTCCAGGGTGTCCCTGTGATGGGACTGGAGATGTGTCCAGGGTGTCCCTGTGATGGACTGGAGACGTGTCCAGGGTGTCCCTATGATGATGTAAGGTCCAAATTACTACCGGCAATGCAAACCAAACACCCGCACCACTTGTATAGGGACCAAACAGCCCTTAACAATGGGCCCCCAATCCCACAGCGCACTCCCCCCCCCCCCACCCCGTGTCCCCTGAGGAATACGATGAGACCCTCCCACAGGCCTGGCTCAAGGGTGGGGCCCTGGCAACCCACATCTGGGCAAGGGACACAGAGTTTCTTGTTTTCTTTTGTCCATACAAGTCTTCTGAATATTATTATAATAATAATGATACTAATGTTAATAATAATGTTAATAATGATGATACTAATGTTAATAACAATGTTAATAATGATGATACTAATGTTAATAATAATGATACTAATGTTAATAACAATGTTAATAATGATGATACTAATGTTAATAACAATGTTAATAATGATGATACTAATGTTAATAATGATGATACTAATGTTAATAACAATGTTAATAATGATGATGATACTAATGTTAATAACAATATTAATAATGATGATACTAATGTTAATAATAATGTTAATAATGATGATAATGTTAATAACAATGTTAATAATGATACTAATGTTAATAATTATGTTAATAATGATGATACTAATGTTAATAATAATGTTAATAATAATGATACTAATGTTAATAACAATGTTAATTATGATACTAATGTTAATAACAATGTTAATAATGATGATACAAATGTTAATAACAATGTTAATAATGATGATACTAATGTTAATAATAA